TTCCAATGGGCGGCCTCGCCTAATCGATTCCCCTGGGCTTAATTGAAACGGAGCGCTCGAACGTGACCCGGACTCCTCTCAAAGAATCCGAGTACTCAGGAACGCGGTCTCATTCACGATTGCATAAGCAGCGCACGGAGCTGCGAGCAAAGCCTGTTGCACAAACGTATCCCGCAGCGAGTGGAGAGACTGCAGCGCATTGCGGCTGTACTCGAGCGACTGCTGCTTCTCCTGCTTCTCCTGCTTCTCCTGCCATTCTTACTCAATGGAAAATGGAGTCAAGTTCCATCGAAACGCAGGCAGGCTCCTGGGTGTCAGGTTGCCGGAAACGGTAGGTAGTTGGGGAGGATCGAAAGACTAAAGAGAAATACGATCAATTTATTTATTAAACGTTTTGGGCTTTGTCGATCAGGTCGCGGGGTGCGTTCCCACGGGAAACACGAAACGCCGCGAACAACAGCGACAATGGCTTCAAAGAGATGGGAGAGAAAGACTTCTGAGGTTGCTCGAGGTGGTCCCGTGGTCCCAGTTAGCTCCCAATGACGCCAGGATAATCGAGGGAAATTACACAGGCATCCCTTCCAATGCGGATAGCAGTCTCCGTTTTCGAGCTTCTTCCTCGGAAAGGTTCTCCATTTCTCTGTTCCTTCATTTTTTCTTCCCTGGCTGATTCCCATGGTTGAATCTCCGAGTGGCCGAGTGCCCGATTCCTCGTAGTTCGAGAGCCGAGACAGCGGTTCGCCATTAGCGCAATCTAATCGCCGAGACGCCGGGACGCCGGGGCTCCCCTAATAACAGGTTAGCCTCGAAAGACCAAGAGGAGAAGAGAAGGAGAGAAGAAGAGAAGAAGAGACGTTAACCGGCGGAATGCGTGTGCGTTCCTGTGATCTCTGCCTGCTGGTCAACGATATTCATTCGCTTTCTTAAATCTTTGGCTCTATAATCTTTCCTCGGACTCGATTAAGCTGGTTTAATGGCAACGGCCGTCTAGAGAATTCCCAGCCTACGCTGCCATTCGACAGATACGGCTAATTGTAAAGCGGGCCACCGCAAATTACCGACTACCCTCTCGGAATGCCGAGGACCATCAGCACCCTCAGAACTTTTTCTCGTGCGGGGCACCTTTGCCGGCGACCTGCTTTGCGTTGCAACTCCATCGACACGGTAGTCCTCGAACCGTGAATCGGCATCGTGGAAAAGTGAAAAAGTGGAAATTAAGAGAATTCCTGGAAGAATTATCCCGAAGGGCCAGTCAAAAATTGTGGGAGAGTGGGAGGGAAGGGAAAAGAGTCTCCTTTCGGAATTACGGTACAGGCGGTTGAAAAAAAAAAAAATGCCGGGAAAGGCAGAGAACTTATGCTGGAGAGTATAATTCTGCTTCCAGGCATCGTGGGATGTAATCTGTAAGATTGTGGGGCACCCAAATTACTAGGTTACCCCGGTTACAACAAAGCCTACTACTTTCAGAAAACGAACGCAACATTATGGTACCGCGCATTATAGAAACGTAGCGGGACGCCCCGTGCATTTGTGCAGGGATCTATGTTGGTACGCGTGCTCAACGTGATTTCCAGTTAAAGGACTCTCTCTCTCTCTCTCTCTCTCTCTCTCTCTCTCTCTCTCTCTCTCTCTCTATCTCTCTCTATCTCTCTCTATCTCTCTCTCTGTCGACTGTTCCGACTTCATTCCCTGCTCCCGCGCGAATGACGTAATGCCTAGCTAACTGGCTACTCTTTTACGGAAGAATCGAGCGATCCATCTTAAAGGGGTTGAGACGGAGTTTACGAGGAGGCAGGTACCTCCTATCGAGAGCCGAGCATTGCTCGCCATCTGAGACGCTGAGACTTATCGATTCCATTAAGCGTTATTAGTGGGACGCAGCGGCTCTGATATTTCGAATACTTAACCGACGCACCAAAGTGCCTTCGTTTGTCTTCCGACGCCATCGAACGATCCCACTCGCTTCGAACGAAATCCTCTTCGAACTTTTCTATCTTTCCCGCTGTGCCACGTAGCCTCCCTTTTTTCTTTTTTTTTTTTTTTTTTCACTGCCAACCAAAAGGACTCGGACTCGAGCCTTTGCGTACTCGTTGAGGATCTACTCCGCGGATCTTGAGGCATTTTCATAAAAAGTGACCCGGCGCTGTCTCGACTTTCCTCGAGAACTCTCTACAACTCAGGGTAACCTTACACGGCAACGGTGCTCAGAGCCTTGAAAATTAATGAGGACGGTGACACGATGCTGACTTGAACTAACGAAACTCCACGCCAGGAAGACTCGTCAGTCAGTCCATGAATTGTCAAGAAGCTTCGTCGTTCGAGATGCGAATTCTTCCGATAAATCATTCGATCCTTTCCGCTAGCCTTTCTTTCGCCCTTTCTTTAGCCAAGTGAGTTTAAGGAACGTCCGCCTGTCGGTTTATCCGTCAAATGAACTTTCGTCCGAGGAATGCATAGCGAGTGACTTGCGCGTGACAAGACACGACGAATCGGGAACGGGAAAGGAGAAAAGAGAAGGAAATAGGAGGAAGAGAGCAAAGCGTGACTCTGCTGTGAAGCTGTGTGACGGGATGGTCGAGGAGGCCGAAGGAAACTCGAAGTTCATGTTGTACGTGGCCCATATAGCCAAACCAAACGACCGTACAAGAGTTTCCTCTTAAGATGGGGAAAAGGAGAAGCCGGCATAGGACCCAGTTTCCCGGTAGACTCTTTGATAACGGAGAAATACTGCGAGTTCCCATGTTGGGCAACCTCTGCGGGACAATTGCATCTTGACGTGTAACGACGCCAGTGCGACGCCAGTACGACGCCCGACGACTAAACTTCTCTAGATCTCGTCGGCACCTCGCACATCCATCTGTTCTTCGTTTCCGGTCGTGTTTCGCAAACGGAGTTGCCAGCACGTGTGTCCCGATCGCTGCCCGAAGGTCAGGAATTCAAGGTTGAAGGTTCGGGCCACAGTTTCGCGAACGTGACGTCGCATATAATGCCTACGCAGAGGGAAGGAGGCGTCGGGAAAACTGAAACCGATTCCCTCTCGACACGTGCGAACTATCGTCTCTTGACCGAATGGCTGGCCGACACGTGTTTCTCCGGATCTTAATGTAAAAGAGGGAAACCATTTAGCTATTCGACTGCTGAACCGCGATCGACTCGAAGCCATCCTCGACCTCGTCGAAACTCCTGGTGCACCGATGGATAATTTGAGCGTCCAGATAGGCACAGATAGGTAGGTAGGTAAGGATACGTATGGGTGGGTACGGGGAGCTAGGTAAGACAGGAGGGTTCGAAGAACACGTTGGGAATGGAGAAGGGCCGTATCATGGGCCTGCATGACCACCCCCTGCTGCTAGGGAACTCGAGGGTTCGGACGGGGGGTGTGGCAGGTTAGGTTAGGGCCCCTCGCAGTCCTGCTCTACCCGAAGGGGCCGGTACGGTCATCCCCGAGCGGCAGCCTTTAAAGCCCTTATGACTAGTCTGGGCCTACGAAGGCGCTATTATGCAGGCTCAACCCTACACACGCGTAGCCGTTACGCAGCCGCTTATAATGGGATAAAAATAACTGTGTTTATATAGGATTATGATTTGGTCTTCCAGCGGGTTCACGCGCTCCTTCGGCCTCGAAATTCGGAAGGCACGAATAAACGAATTGGATAGACGGCTGAAAATTCAAACGAAAGAAGATGCGAGTAGCGAAAACCAAAGAGCCGCTGGATCTCCGAAGGGCCAAGCAGGTTTTAGTCTTGCAGACGGGTTACCGGTTCTTCGATTCGTTAATGCCAGCTCCGCTAACGAGCGTGTTAATCGGCTTCTGGCAGCTCGATTGAGACTCCTCGAGGAAGAGCCATCTCTCCCGGAGCAGGAGAATGTCTCCGCTTGAGTCCACTGGATTGCCAACACTGCCACTAGAGAATCTGTTAACCAGCGAGTTTTTCATCTCCGAGCGAGTCACTCGACGATAAGCGGCGGTTTGGCCCGCTAACGAGTATTAACGAGATTCCCGCTAAATGCAACTGTTCATATTAACCTGCGTGCTTGATGAGGAGGACTTCACTGATTACGCCTCTCGAAACGTATCTCTTCATCAAAATTAACATTATCAAATTATTTTAGCGTACCGCCAAATTCAGCCGTGCGGCACACGAATTGACAGGAACCTCTGCAGGCTTCGCCGGGTGAGGTCGGGTCCTCCGCGGCGCATCCCGGACGACCTCGCCTCTATTTGGTTAAATTCGTGTTATTAATGGATTTGTTTGCGGTGCTCGCTCGACGGTCAATATTTATTTATCTAGACAAACGTTACGTTTCGAGAAGTGCGCCGTGCCGCGCCGCGTCCGGAGACACCGTAAATAAATGGCCAGCATTTGTTTACTCAGGAAACAAATTTACAGCATCCCCATGGACAGGAGAAAAAGGGGCACCGGGTTAAAAACCATGGGCTTGCGTATCGTGCCAAACTCCATCTCCAGGCATCCAAATGCAATCGGACCATTATTCCCTGGAATCACTCTGGCAACCACTCAGTTCCGAGAGACAATCAAAGCCGACTCGTCCTTAAATATTCAGGAACCGTTTCCTCCTTCATCCCTGCAACATCTTCAGATCCTCCAAAGGCCAAACACTGTGCTCCATCCACTACATCTGAAACATCAACTAGACGCCCTAAGCAGTGTGCGATGCCTTTCTTTCTTGTGCTAGGCACTTCAGGCTCTCTATGACTTCGCTCTGGCTTTACTGGCTTCACTGGCTTCAAGACACTCTCGGGGCGCTCTGCGCGTTCGTCCTGGCATCCGCCAGGGTCCAGCTAGTCCAGCATCTGGCTCCCACCATAGACTTTGGCCGCCTCTTTTACCACCACCATTTGCCACGATTCCACCACCAGCAGCGGCGGCAGCAGCAGCGGCGGCAGCGACGGCGGCGGCAGCCTCCACCGTCATCACCACCACTTCCAGCAGTTGTAGGAGCTGCGCTAACCCGGCGCCCATGAGGGCTTCTCGTCCGTAGCGTCGAGCCACGTTCGAGTCAGTTGGCCGACATGAGCCGCGCGCGTCGAGTCGCCTCGGACGCTCCTTCTCTGCCTCCTCGACTGGGGTAGTTTCCAAGGCACAGTGTCACGTCGCTAACGCTGCCAGTGTACATCATCAGTGTTCATTAATTCTTGCTGCTACACCAATGACTCGCTGATTAACAGGCAGAAATCATTTTATTTAAAAAATTGTTAAACTCGTGACAAAGAATGAAGGAAGTTTGAGAATCTCTGAATATGAAAGTAGCGAGTGCCTAAAGAAGCAATAGCTCTTATCCGATTCTCCTTCTTGACCCTTACGACGAACTAATGAGTACACGATAAGCAGTGTCAGAGTGCAGTGTCAACAAAATGCGAGCCAATTAACGGATACCAAAACAAGTTATTTTCCAGTGCGCGTGCTACATGTAAGTTATTACGAATAAAAAGACTCCTGCGGCGGTTTATCGTATAGTATATTCCGAGTTGTAAGTTTTAAGTTTGGCTAGGAAAACTTTGCACACGAGGCATCACGTAGATCAGTAAATTCTGCAAATACGCGATTTCGTAAGGAGACGTGCATTGGCACTCTCTCTCTCTCTCTCTCTCTCTCTCTCTCTCTCTCTCGGGATGATTTTTCCGAACGACATCCGCTATTGTAGAACGTTGCGACTGGATAGGAGAACGGCGTAGCCAGAGGAAGTGGCGAAGCTACGTGAGGAGGATACCAAGGAAATGCCAAGGAGACGCGCGGACCCGTCCAGTGTTCGAATGCCCGAGTGTCTCTGTCGCCGATTGAAAACTAGCCGGAATGTATACGGAGTCGGTGATATCTTCCCATGGGAAGATGAGTAGATAGGCTGGCTCTTCCGTACATGTAGGTGTCTGTAACCGGTACAGACTGCTCGTGTTGTTGGCACCTGGCACGCGCAACGGTGCAAAGGCGCAAGGGCTCGTCCCTCCATCTGCTTTCCGATCTCGCCGATTTCACCCTCCGTGAGAACTCTGATCTACCTGCCTGACTTACAAAGCCAAGAGGAGAATCTGCGATTCACGCATCATTGCCTTTCCGTAGCGTCACAATGCGCAGCAGAGGAGTATCGTTTTCACACCGGGGAGCCGCGGCTCGACAATTCTCTTCGCGGTGAGCCGCGCGTTTGCCCGAGTATTCCGAATGCCGTTTCAATACCGGAAACTCCTACTTTGATGGAGGGATTTTCCGTTCGGATGACCAGCTACGGATGCAGGACTTGAGATTCGTGAGATGCTGCTACTCTGGGAAAAAGATGGCAATAAAAAGTACGAGCGGTCCTGGCGGGTATTAAATCCCTGAATTATCTGAGGATCTAGGAGCTAGATGCTGATGGAAGATAGCGCGCTGCGCACGTCGAGGAAAGACATCTGGTTGCATCTGGTTGCATCCGTTGTCGAGAAGTTCCAATCCTCGAATTCTCCTAACGACGACCCTGTGGCTCGAATGTACCTTCCATAAAGATGCTGCGAACCCACGTCTCCCGGCGGTTGACAAGTTTATTTCGCTTCGTAATCTTCTCGGATTACGAAAAGAGACTTCGAGTCGCTCACTATATTCGAGCTGCGCTTACATTTTCGGGGAAAAAAAAAAAAAAAAAAAAAAAAAC